AAGACTCTAAGTATCAGGTCATGAAAGCAGAATTTTTTAGCAGAAGTTACATTTAATCTACATTTTAGAATCTGTGCAGACCCTTCAAACAAGCAGTTTCATTTAAAGAATGTGGTGACATACTATTTTTACACTCATTAATTTGAAGCAAATTAAACTGTGTTTCACTATTGAACAGGAAACCAGTAAGAATTTGTTTTTATAATTCTATATAAGCATTTATATATTTTAGATGAGTTTTATTACACACAAACTGTAATCACATTATTTTTAACATTGTTGATGAAATTAGAAATTCCTGAGATGATCCACAGTCTTATCACTGAAGAAGTTTACTTTTTTGATTCTGTTCTGCATGGACAAGATTACCTCCAGCATTAAGCAGACACCAGGGTGGAAAGGGAGGCTGGACACAGGCCCTGAAGTTCCCACTGAATAGGGAAAAGTGTGTAAGAGGCTGAAATAAAAGAGCGACCGCAGCATTGTGGAGAGTATGCTCACAAGGCAGAAACCTTCAGAAGGAGGGGAAATGCTCACATTTGGAAACCGGAGTGAGCTGGAGAAACTTACGTTCCTCTTGGAGGGAGGCCTTCAGGAGAAGGGCTATCCTCAGGGGAGGGCCAGGTTTCCCATCGGGCCTGGAGGTGGAGAGACTTCTAAGACAAGACGAGGGTGTAGGAGCTTGAGGAGGATGGGATGAGGATTCTCAAGGCTGCAGTGAAGGGAGCCAAGATGGAGCATAATGGTGGGACTTACCAAAGTGTAGAGACAGAGGGGTGTAAGGGAGCTAGAAAAGGGAGGGGGTCTGAGTCGGGGTTAAGCCCCTGGCTTCCTTCCTGCAGTGAAAGTTACGATTAGCAGTGATTGGCCTCCACCCAATTTGGTACAAATTTTATTGGCTGTAACTGCCTGAGGATCCCATGTGGTCTGACCTGTTTTGGGGACTTGTGTACATGGGCCTTGCTGAAGGGCAAGACCTCCTCTTAGTTGGTTCATAAAGTTCTGGATGAGTCTGTTGTGCTGAGCTGTTGTATTCTCACTTCTATATAAATCACTACTAATGGTATTTTTGTGAGTACAGAATATTCACTCTTTGGTCATGAGCTAAACTGTTTGGACTCAATTTCTGGAATCTCTGAATCTTTTCATCACATTCAGGATGTGCCCTATTTCGATCTGCGAAGCAAGGGCTGCTAGAGTGACACAGTTCTGTCATATTTGGCTGAGAATGGGACTCATTTCTTTGAGGTCCCTTTGTTTTGTGAAGCTCAGTGTTCCAAGTTGTCTTTCCCCAAGGCCCTCGGCTGATGAGTGCTTGGTAACCACATTCCTCTGGCCAACATGACGTAAAGTAATAAAGCTTTCCAATAACATTCAATATCTCAGATTGAGAGATCACTTTCAGAAAAAAGGCCGAGTTCAGTGACTCACAAAACCAGACTTGGCATATGTGGAAGGGGAAAATGTCAAGGAAGCCGGTGAAGGAAAATGAGAAAAGGCTCAAGTTGCAGTAAGCCATTCTTAAGAGCCGTTTTTGGCCCCTTCTGAACTTCTGTTCTTTAACTTGTGAAACTGCTGCCTTTATCTGAAAACATTAAGCTGCCATTTGTCAGTGCCAAACTGGAAGTCATTTATGAGTTTTGAATTTCACTGCAAATAAAACTTCATCAAACACTTTCTTTTAATGTCTAACTCAGTTTAGAGTTGCAACCTCTCTTTAGATGCAGACAGCTACACTGGCAGTTCATTTTGGGGTTTCATTTTGTTCATTTTTAGAGATACAGTTATGAACATTTTAAGGACAGTCACGAGATACTTGATCTTTTCATGGATCTGGTTTTGATGTGACTTTCAGTGTCAGGCTACTTTGATCGTTTTGGTTTCTGTTTCTTAAATTCAATTGTTTTGCAAACACCTACATACTCAAAGGCCTCAGAGTGGGTTAAGGGTATGGTCATTTATGAGCTGCCTTTACCCGTTCTTCCATCCTCCCCATGCTCTATTCCTATCCAGCTTTTTCCGTTTGCCTTGATGGCACTAGTTCTAGAAGAAGGTTTTTTGGAGGCCACGGTCCTAGGCACGTCAGTCCATGTTACTAACGGAGGATCCTCTACCTCAAAATGCCAAAAGCTCAAAATATTAGTTTCTTGGTCTTTTACTTAAAATTCCTTTGAAAATCACACAGCTTACCATATCCTGTGCTGAAAGAGCATACTTGGAAATTTGTTTTCTCCAGTGATGTTTACAAAATATGATTAAAGAAAACTGACTTATGGAATCAGAAGCAGATTTGGATTTTAGGACCTAACTTCTTTCTCATTTGATGCAAGTATGACCAGACATATGTGTTTGACCTACACTGACTGGGCAAAGTGACATTAAGGCAAATGTTTTATGTAATTAGCTCTCTTTCTTCATTGAGGATTTTTAAAAAGAGGAATATAGGTTTTGACAAAGCAAAGATATTAAATAATAACCACTAAAGGACTTTAGCATGAGGAATGAGATCGTCTGATTCCAAGATAGATAAAGTATATAAATTCCATGGATAAATAACTTTTAATTCTTAATATAACAGTAAAATTTTCTAATGATGCCACATACACATTTGCGGTGACATAAAAGTCTAGTCATACTTGCTTCCAATCAGAAAGAAACGTATTATATTCCGGATTGTTTCCCTAAATGAAAACAGGGTTTCATTCGGTTAAATTCTGTAAATCTGTAGTCCGTAATTATAGAAAAAGTCAATACTATTTAATGTTATCTGAAATCAAAGTCCTATGATAGAACAGTATATGTATAAGAACTGCTACATAAAATATGAGTGGATATTTACTATAGAATATATAAAAGATTGAAAGGAAATATATAAAAAACATTAAGAAGTTTTATCTTTGAAAAACATACTGATTTCTTTATTCTGTTTAAATTTTTTTTTTTTTTAAAGTAAGCTCTACATCCAACGTTGGGCTTGAACTCACCACCCTGAGGTCAAGAGTCGCATACTCTGCAGACAGAGCCAGCCAGGCACCTCTATTCTGTTTAATCTTAAAAGAACTAATAGTTAGAATTAATTTAGCTTCTGGTCAATCACTTCTAGTCTTCAATGAAACCTAATAAAATACAGACATATGAAGAATGCTAAAATGTAACTTTATAGTTGGGTTTGATTTATAGATAAGCAAATAGTTTCTCAGAGACTTGAAAATTGTTAAAGCTTTCCAATTATTTAGGGACAAAACCAGGGTTTTAGTTCAGTTCCCTTGATTATTAGATTTATAATTCAATTAAGCTTTTCTTCCTCAAAATATAAATGGTGAAAAGTGAAGGCAAATATGTGGGGGGAGACAATTTAGTCCATCGTCAGTGGTTTTCTGAGTTCCTAGACCCTCTTCTGTTTTTGTGAGGGTAATTTTCTCATGCTGTTTTTTACAGTTGGGCATAATTCTAAAATAAGCCGCAGATCCTGCTTTTCGCATTCTTGTTTAAGTCATGGAGGGAAGAGCTACGTAGCCAGAGTTCTCTGTCCGTACGGACAGCTGTGCTGGGAGCCAGCCAACCATAGAGAAGAAACTAAATTTTAGCTGCTCTTGAGAAGAAGCTTCCACTAATTTCAGTACCGCTGCCAGTGCTTGGAGGAAGACTTTACATGGAGAAATCCTTACCTCCAGAAATGATCAGTTCCTATTAACCTGTCATCACGCTTGCCTTTATCAGCCCCATATAGGTGGCCCAATACGGTTGAACTCAGAATGTCGTTTGTACCAGTCTCTAAAAGGCATCTCTTTACTCTATCCAAGTGGCATACCTAGTAACTTAATGGACATTCCATCTAACATTATTCTAGATTTGTTTTTCATAAACAACACATCTGGGCTTCCTAGGCTACAGTCTAATCTAATCTAAATCTAAACAATCTAATCTAAACAAATAGCAAGTAGATAATAGCAGCCATAATCATTCCATTTTTTACTTTGTCGTGTCCTTTTAATAGATCTGTTAGACTCACTATAAAACAGAATATTAGTGTGGGTTTTTTTTGGCCTTTCATCAGCCTTTGACTCCTGGGGTAGGAATCAGTTATGAGATAAAATGTAGCAGTTCAACAGAGAGAATCCCTCCACCCCTTTACAGATGCTCATGCAGAAGCAGGACTGAGCAGTGGAAGTCTTTTGTTGCATAAGAAAATATTTGCCAATACATTGATTAGGAATGGGTTCTGAATTTACTCTAGGATAAAAGGTTGTGTGGTTGGTTGCTTGTTTTTTTTTTTTTCACTCACCCACCAAAAAGAAAAGATCTGTAATCAGATGATATGAGTTTACTATTCAGAACCAGGAGTGACCTTAGAAGACTATTAGTTCTAGGGGCCCCTGAGTAGCTCAGTCGGTTGAGCATCCAACCCTTGATTTCATCTCAGGTCATGATCTCAAGGTCTTGAGATCAAGCCCTACATGGGGCTCAGTATGGAGTCTGCTTGTCCCTCTCCCTCCCTCTCTGCCCCTCCCCCTGCTCACACTCTCTCTCTCTCAAATAAAATCTTAAAAAAAAAAAAAGACTATTAGTTCTACTCTCTAATCACAGCCAGAAAAAAAGAAAATGATTTCAGTTCAACTATTCCAAAACCAAGGGCTTTATTTTTGGCAGACATCTTACCTGGTTCATAATTGACAGCCCTATTAATCAAGTTTCCTCAAACTCACTGCTGCCTAGGATGCTCCCTTCTGGTGCAGAAGACACAAGTAAATCCAGAGAATATCTCTGGATCAAGATGCCTAACTGAGCACACATGTTACTTCCCCAAACCCCACCTTCACCTTCTGTATACCTGTCACCCAGTGGGGTGGAAATTAACTAGGATAGGTCATAGGAAATAAAGAAGTTAATCTCCTTGAAAATTTGAGTAGTATTATGAGTAAGTTGTTTATTCTAATATAATAACTTTTAAAATTTGGTATTACACGTATTGGTTTTATGATAACTTTCTGTTTAAGCAGAATATTATTCTCCTCAACCACTCTAGACAATGAAGTAATTGGGAAAAAATGGAGTGAAAAATCTTTGGAAGGGAATAAGCCCTAAATGTGGAACATACATGAAAGAGAAACTTGTCATTAAAACTCTATGAAAAGAAGCTTTGGAAAAAACAATAGAATTGCTAATAGAGCCACAAAGGCAACATCTGAGAGAAACAAATTCCACTACAATCTCTACTATTACATTTATGACTACTGAGGTAAGGAAGTAAAACTTTATACCTTTTGTTCTCCCCATCAGTAAAACTGGAAGGATAATATCCCCATGTTCTCTTAACAAAATATCAGGAAAATAACCAAGCTGACTATTTAAGAACCTTGCTTAAGATTTATCAATAATAAATTAAAAAACAAACTTAAGTTCTGATAGATGTATCAGAGGATCCCTTTGGAGTTTTCTTAAGATGTTGGGGCACATGGGAACATTTTTAGGAGACATTTTAATGAAGATACTTCTGGCAATGGGCACTGCCCATCAGAGTTGATGGGTTAGGAGTTGGTTAGGAGGAAGGCTGCCTGGAACTGCGGCCAGATTTAATAGGCGATTGTGTGGTGGACAACTAAGACTTTGGACTCAGGCCTGGGTTCAAATTCAAGTTCTACCACATATTAGCAGTTACCTTATCTTTTCCATTTTCTCATATTTCAAACAGAAATTATAAATACCTCAAGGTGCTATTGTAAGGATTAAATGAGATAGCATGGAGATGGCTATTATGGTTCCCAGCACATAGTAGGTGTTCATTAAATAGTAACTACCCTTATTAGCTCTAAGTTTCAGTAGCTCCCTACTCCATCAGACAAGGTTATCAGTTAAGTGAAATATCACAAGCCATAAAATATCCCCATGTGGATAGAATTGTTGCTTATGTTCAGTTAGCTAGAATTTTTCCTTGAGTACCAATTTATACAACATTTGGTAGTAGATTTGCTTTTTAAGGAAAAATCTTTAAAGGAGGATAAACTGCTTCCTTAGCCAAAAACCATACCAGGGCTATCTCTGCCCTTGTAGAAGGCACACACAGTAGGACATCGAGATAATGCCTTAGTGTTGGATGCAATCCAAAGGCCAGCTCACATGCCTTCATATTGCAAAACAACTCCTAAGATTATAGAATCTTGGCTTTGGAGGACTCATCTTACAGGATATGGAATTTTGCTATTCTTTTTAAAAATCTTCATTACAGTGTCCCAGATAGATTATCTAACTTCTGGTTTAAAAGGAAGCTCACAAACCATTCCATCCTGTTGTAAACTCTAACCAATAGAAAGTCCTTTCTTAATTAAATCCAGATCTGCCTCCCATGATTTCTTCTTGGTGGTTCCAGTACTTCTCACCAGAACAATGTAGATTAAGTCCCTCATCCCTGTGAATACCCCTCAGATATCTATTCTAATACTCCTAACTTCTTGAATAAACATCCTAATGTTTAATAATTTTCATATTAAAGCTAAATATTTGCTAAATATACCTTGAAAATGGGAATAATAAAAATTATGAACTAATAGATATGTGAAAATTCAGAATTCCAGGAGGGAAGCCGAGCTATTTTGATGAAACTGGGACAGATTGTTTTTAACAATCAGGGTATGTGGACAATGGGTGAGTCATATTCGAAGGCACATATACCCTAAGTAAAAAACATACAATGTAATATGATGTTTAAAATAGTAAATTTTGGAGCAATGATTGCAGTATTTACCTGGTTTTAAATGTCTTATACCCACATTATATGCAAAAGAAGTTGGCCCCATCTCAATGCCAGAAATGGTTGTCCAAATAAACATAGGTTGACGACTTAAAGAAGCTCAGACTCATGGATCTAAGTAGTAATGTTTTTCTCTGTTTAAAATGGGATGAAATCATAGTGAGCACCACAGCAGAGTAAGAATGTTCAACTCAGCAAACATTAAATGCCTTCCATATGCCAGGCGCTAGAAATAAGTACATAGAATACATAAAGTACATGGTTCCTGTCCTCAAGATACTTAGAATATAGGGGAGAGAAGAAATATAAGTAACCATTAAAGACAGCAACAGTAATTTAAAAAAATAAGATGCTAATTTATTTCCAGACATTTCTGCCTTTTGGGGGGCAGTGCTAAATCTACTTATGCAAGAGAAATAGAGTGCTGATGGGGATTTAGACTCCAAAATATATTTAATTTAGTATAAAGATCTTCAGACAGATCCTATATAGGTACAAGGAGGCTTATTTACTGACAAATATACATTAGCAAATTTAAAGACTGTTAACCTTAAAAATAAAACTGCCAGTGAAGAAGGAAAAAATGTGTTTATTCAGGAATAGCAGACAATTGCAATCTGGCACAAGTAAGCTACAGCAAAATCATAGGCAAGCCCGGAGACCAAAGGAGGACCACTCTTACAGAAGAAAGAGGGTAGCTGGGAAGGCTGTTATAAACACAAAGTTCATTAGAGTAAACTGGGAGGTCCAAGCCTAGTGGCTTTTCATTGGCTGAGTAGCGACGTCTCTCTTTGGCTGGGCCGTTACCAGGGGCAAAGGAAAGCCTTTCTTCCTCCTGACGCTGGGGGAGGATAGTACTTCGAAGCGAAGTCCCTCTCTTCCTATTGGGTCTGCAGCGGACAACACTGGTAGGGCCTGAGAGCTCCCCCTGCTGGCCTCCCAACTCCATTGTAAATGAAGTTTCTTTTTATTAATTTTCACAGTACCCAAACTCAGAATGTAGAAGAACTTTAAGGAGAAATAAGACAAGTAAGACTAGGTCGATGGCATAGTTGGCAGCCTATCTAGCTGTTAATGAACAGAACTGGATTGTATAATACATGGTTGGGAAATATTGTTCCATGATACTCTATCTAATGTTCTGCATTAGTTACACTCTTATTTGGAACTTTTCCCTAGTTTGCATTGGCAGACATTTAATTACATCTGGAGAGCAAGAATGGGTCTAGAGAAGCCTGAGAAACGTGAGTAAAAGAAACCCTGTGAGAAAAAGTTAAACATTTTTCTCCAGGAAAAGAGAAGGTCTGAGGAGTGATTGGATTCTTGTCTTTCATATGAGGAAGATAATATAAATCATTTCCCATTTCAGTGACATAATGAATAAGACTAGAATAGCCTAAAATGCAGCTTTGAAAATTTATTTTGGGTATAAGAACTTTTAAACATATTCTGATACATATTAAAATATCAAAACAAGAAACTCTCTTTATTAGGTTTACATTACTTACTAGGTTTACATTTTCACCGATTTGGCTGGTCAGGTAATCTGATAATTTGCTCTTTGATTCTGAGAAAATATTAAACAAGCATAGGTCATTCACAACAGTGTGATTAAGGTTTGTAACGAGATTCTGAAGCCTGCTGTGGCATAGGAACAACCAGCAGTATTACAAAAGGTGCAGAAAAAAGTTTTAGGAGCACAGGAAGACACCATTTTCATACCTACAGCTAGTGCTTCATCAAGAAATGTATTGATGTGTCTTGGGCTTCAAAGAGTTAAAGAATCAATATGCCATTTCTGCTGCTGATTTTTTTTTTTTTTATAGCTTTGCCTCCTAAAACCCTAGTCTAGGGTCTGACATGAAAATGTGTCTGTCGCCTACTCAGAGGAGCTATCTGGGTCTCTCAGCCAAATCTAAACTATCTTAGCATGTATAAGATATGTTCCATAATGCTATATCATAATGGTAATTTTTTTTCTGTCTCCACAGTCACTTTTTACCATTTATATATGGTTTCTGTGACTTTAATACCTCTTTAATGGACATACATGCTCTAGTCTCTTCATGAACATTCACATACTATTCCATCTATGTATCCGTCCTCATCGCTTCATTATCAGAAAACAAATGCAGACGTTTGACTCTCTGGGACACTAGTAGGAGCCCCAGTGGCAGGTGAGTCCCAGTGAGCAGATCCCTCTTGACAGGGGTGCGCCATTTCACTAGTTAGAGTTCTTTTAGAGAGAAGCTTCCTTCTGCCTCATTGGCATGCCCTCTCTTACTTCTCCTAGAGGTGTAAGCTCTGACTGGTCCACCTGAAGCAGAAATGGAAGTTAGAGGTGCTTGGTGTTTAAATGGAGAAACCAGTGGAGGGAGTCAGCTACCTACCTCTCTCGGACCTGTCTGTCTAGAGTGGAAGTTTTAGGGGGACTGGGGTTGGAAATGGGATTTCTATACAAGGGTAAAAGGCAGGGGGGAATGCCTTGATTCAGTTCTACTAATTGCAAGTTTACCACACCGCATACAAGTCCTCAATCCAGCTCAATACCTCTTTGCTGTCAACAGCATGGGTTCTGGGGGCTGATTGCTTGTGCTCAAATTCTAGTATTTTATCGTTACTGTTTTTATTATACTTACTTTCCATGCCTTTCTGGCAAAAAGAAAACCCACTCAACACTTGTAGCCCAGGCTCCCTCACCCTACCACATTCAAGTTCGGCTGTCTTTGGGGTCCTTCCTCTTCTCTCTCACTCTGTTCTCCAGCTTTTAAAAGCTGTATTCAGCACACTTTCAAAATCCTACAGTCGACGTCTGTCACCATCAGTCTGAGGACAGGGGTTCCCGCCTCGTCCTTCTTGTTGAAGCCAGGATGAGATGACAGGAGAGCAGAAACGCTAGGCTCTGGTTCCTGGTTTCAGGCTCGGCTGGCTTTGAATAAAAGTCGGCCATTCCGAGCCCCGGCAGCAGGGGGCGCCATGTCCCTCCGAGCCGTCTCCTCTCTCGGAGGAGAGAGATGGCACCATGTCGGCGGGCAGTCCTGAGGAGAGGCCAAGGCCCCACTCCTCTTTTGACATCCTAAGGCTGGAAGCAGGTTCCTTCTCAAAAGCATTTGGAGAAGCAGCTTCTCCTACAGCCGGAGTGGGTGCAGGGCCTGCAGACATCTTAGCCGCGAGTAGACCAAGTCCTGTTGGCAGAGCCGCAGGAAAGGCCCGCCTGTCCGCGCCCAGCCTGCCCGCACTGTCTCAGACTTGGGGTTCCGAGTGTGAGGCCCGTCTGGTGAGGCCCGTCGGGGGAGGCCGCGCGGAGAGGCGGCAGAAGCTGCTTCGGGGTCTTTCTGTTTCTTGGCCAGGCCCATGATGAGGGAGGGAGAGCCTGGCCCTGGGCTGGCGGAGCAAGAGCCCGAGGGACAGGGGCCATCCACCTGGAGCCGCAGGGCCCCGCACAACCGCCTCCCCGGACTCATTCACTCTTGAGACCAAAGGGGAGGAGGACAACCAACCCTTGGCAAAGATGATCAGGGGTGTCTTTGAACTGAGTGAAAGAAAGGAATGTATGTGTAGGCAAGTTATTTCTCTTCTGGTGGAGTCCAGAGACTCTTTCCTCACCCACTTCTGCTCTGGTAACCGGGTAGTAAAACATAACAAATTTCTGAGTTTCTCTTTTCTTGCCTTGAGCATATGAAGGGCTGACACTGATCTCTCAGCATGGAACCCAGAGGTCTCATGGATTATTCCAGCATTAGGCTGGTAAAGGTTTAACGCTGGGAAAGAAAGAGGGCAAGCAATGAGATGCCTTAAGTGGAGAATTAGGCCTAAAGGTGGCTCCTTGCTTTTGATCATAATTATTTAGCATGATATGTCTGAAATATGTAGAACTAAATATTTGCTGATATTAGTATAATCAATTTGTATAAAGATTGACACTTACCAGACAAATCAATGTAAGTGTATTCACATTCTATATCAGAATGTACCCACTCCATTAATCACATTATCATGGAGAAAAATTACACTTCTGGGCTACTGTATTTGTATTCTTTACTACCTTATACTTTAGAGAGCGAAGCCTCATGTTAGTCAACAGACTGTGGAGTCGGTTCGTCTCTCTTTTTCAGTTTTGCAGCTGTGAGTCTCAGTGTCCTCATCTGTAATGCAGAGTCAGGTGAAGCTATTCCTGAGATCTCTTCAAGCATGAATTTTGCATGACCAATCCATTGTAGAACACAACTAAAATAATGGTTCTTTTGTAGTTCTCTCGGGCGTTTAGTGCAGCTTGGAATCATACCGGGCAGATGCAGGCACCACATGGAACGTGGAGGAAAACACAACTGAATAACGGCCATGTTTTGAGATGGTGACTTTCATGGTTTAAAGAGTAAGAAAATGGTGTTTGGTTACAGGTGTTTTGTTTTGAGAAACAAACTTGAAACACGTTCTTGCGTATTCCTGGATAGAGAAGTACAAAATAGATGTGTACTTGTAAACGATTTAGTGCTTGAAGCACTTTTTCTCTGCATCCTCACGGTCCAAGCTCGTTGGGAAGGACAGAGTCCCTGACCTAGCCCAGCGAAGTGTGGGGTTTGAGGCTAAAGCGGGTTTGGCTGCTACACCAGGACCTGACCTGCAGATCCCTAACTAGGAAGTGGGCAGTGAGGCTGCCGCGTGTTCACCGTGGCGGCCGCGAGCACCTGTTCTCCCCGAGCAAGCTTCGCCCGCCGTGGAGGGACCTCAGAGACCAGTCCCTCTTCTTACCTGGGCAGAGCCCAGAATAGTCAGCAGCTCAGGTGGCTCAGAGGAGGGGCAAGGGGCCAGGCGGTCAAGTGAGTTGCTCGCTCTTGTCTTCCTGGAACTTTGGGGGTCTAATTTCCTGCCGGGGAGGAAGCAGCACTCTGGATGGTGGGAGTGAGGGAGTGGATGCCCCGCCCGTGCCTCGTACCGGGAGCCAGCCGACGTGACCGTGGCTGGCTTCGCCGCCCAGGATTGGCGCGCGGCCCACAGAGGGCGCGCCCCAGAGCTGAGCGCCCTTCGGCTGCCACCTGCGGGGCCCGGACGGCCTGGTGCGGGGCGCGAACCCACAAGGAGCGCGCGGCGGGCGCGGCGGCGGCGGGAGGAGGGGCCCAGAGCCGGGAGCTGGGCCAAAGGACATCCCGTCCTCCAAATGCTGCCACTCGAGTGAGCCGCGCGCTGGCGAGAAGGCTGCGCCGCTGCCCTTGCAGCTGGACTGCGCTTCGCTCCGCACCCGGCCGCCCTGACGCCGGCCGGCGCCCCCCGGAGCTTCGGGGAACGCCCAGGGCACGCAGCCCGCCCAGCGCCGGATGCCTCCCCGGCCCCGCGGCCGTCCCGACGGGCGAGGGGCGCGTAGCTGCCCCGGCGATGTGTTGTGTAAGTGAACACCTGAGAGGTGGGCGGCCGGCGCGTGTGTCCGTCGGTCTCGGCTCGTCAGCTTTGCCCTTTGGGTTTTTCAATGGCAGAAACCTGGGAGTCACAGGCGGCTTGAATTCACGCAGACCTCTCGGGGCCAGCTGCCTCGGATAGAGCCTCACGTCTGTCTCCTCATTGAGGAGAGTTAGCCCCCGCCCCTTCCACCTGGTTCTGAGCCCCAAGTCAAAGGTACTGCATTAGGAGCCGCCGTTTCATTCTTCCTCCTTCCTACCTGAAGAGAGACTGAAGATTTTCAGGTAAAAGATTTGCCTAGAAACATTTAATTTGTATGCCAAGCTGTCAGGCTACTGCTCCGAATGACCTATGGTGAGCAAAGTATTCGCGCTTGTGCTCTTTAGAGCTGTGGGAGGCAGAATCTTGGGGTGAATTATACTGTAATTGGGAAAAAAAATCGGAGATCTGTAAGATCCTTCAGCCATTAGCTAAGGGATCTGAGAAGCAAAGCAGAACAATAGGAGTTGTTTCTCTTCTGTTTCCTGTCTGCTCTCTCCCTATCCTTAATGGAAATAAATTCACATAAAATTGTAAGTGAGTAAATGTTCCCATCAAAGACTCCATCTTTTTAGGATCTGGTATATATGGTATTTACCTTAGACAAAATTGTAATTAAGAATTCAGAGGGAAAAAATCTACCTTTATTATGACAAAGTATAAATCACGTCATGATCAACAGTTGAATATACCTTTTTTTTTTCCCTTTGGATTAGGTTTTCGAGTACCTGATATAACTATCATATATAGATGGGAAATAACATCAATTTAAGTATTCTGTTTGACATGTTCAGCAGAATGGTCTGGAAAA